CAACTCAGGGCCATGAGCTGATTTCAGCTCATGGCCTTTTGGCTTTCTGACTATTGCCGGGAAGCATGAGGTGTAAAACGACGTGGAACGTCATGATCCCTGTAATCATAATCGTCCGCGACGTCTGGGTAGTCTTGCCGAAGTTGCGCTTCAAACTCCCACAAGTTCTCGAATTCGGGGTATCCTCGCCACATCACAAGATACTGGGTTTGACCCTGATGACGACGTTGACCCAGAAGACGTTCCTCGTGATACTAGAGACCACCATTCTTGTCGAGAAAGTCGGCAGTGGACGGTAAAGAGTGGGTCGATCACCGTCCGGTGACTCGCGATGCTTTTCAAGCTCTTAATGACGAAGTGTATTGTGATTAGGACTCCGCTGAGGGTTATGCTGGGGTCGCATACCGCTGCACGGAAGACCTAAAAAGCTTAGCTGACGTAATGCACATCACGTTACGAAATATTGCGCTCTATACCAGACGACACCGTCGCACCATGCGAACGTGAAGCGCTTGGCGCCGTTGAAGACGAAAATAGTTGCACTCAAGCTCAAAACCCGGTGCTGGTCCAGCTTCAAGGTGGTCGAGCGCTTATGGGCCCATCCCGGCGCAAACGCTTCCGCGTTTACTCAAGCCGGATTCCGGTACGGCTTAACCAAGTCTACAAAAATACCGGGTGGATGTGCATCCTCTTCGGAAGGTCCAGCAATAAACTAAGGCCCTGCTTGTCCACAACCTTGAAAGGTCGATAAACCGTGGACAGAGTTTCGTCTGAACGACATCAAAATTGCATGGTTTGGAGGGTTTATAGCATTTAATAAAACCAGGCTCTCTGACCTCAAAGTGATTAACATTTTCTCTTCCTCTTCCGTCTACACATTCCTTTTGTATGTCTTGGCTTTACGCAATCGCATCGCGAACGAGTCGTTAGACACTCGGTCTGGTACTGAGAAAGCCATCAACTTTATTACGAACAGTGAGAGGGCTGACATGAGATAGCCACTCGATTATACTTCCCCCACCAAACCTCGAATCATGGATGACGGTGTCAGCGCGAAGCGAGGATGAATGGGCCCGTTCAAGCAGAACGCCTTGTAGCCGGTAAATATATGCATTGCATTGTTCAAAGCAATCTCTACGAGTGGCAGCATGGCGCTCCAACGCCTCAGTGTCTCAGCGTAGACGCTGCAAAAACATCTTCAACGACGCGATTCACGTGCTCAGGTTAAACAACCGTCTGCGGATGGCCCGCCGTTGACATATCCAGCTTGGTGCCTAGCACCCTGAAGATTGTAGTCCAAAACCTGCCAGTGGATTCTCTGTCAGAGACAATTGACTCCGGCAGAACATGTTCCCAAAAGACACGATCCATAAACAGCGTCGCTGTACCGACACCGTCGATGGTGTCCGGTGTGCCGCAAGATGAGCAATCTTGCTCAAATGCTCGACGAAGATAACGACACCTGTGTTGTCCACCGAGTCCTTCGGCGGGCCAAACCCAAAGTCATTACTCATGGACTACCGTCACCCGAAGGGTTCCTGCATACTGGCCAGTGGCGTCCCCGCATTCGAAAAGAGTTTACCCTTTGACACGTCTCACACGTGCGCACATATGTGCTCGTCCATTTGTACAGCTTGTACCACCAATTGCGGCAACTCACAGAGCTGTAGATTTTTCACGACCGAGATGACCACTGAATGGAGTGTCGTGGGCCTCATAAAAGATATGCACTTCGAATCTTCATCGTGAGGCGTAGCGTATCCGTCAAGTCGGTGCTATAATACAACAATTCATTATGAATCTCTGTGCAACCGTGCACGCAGTCACGACGACGATTTCTAGTCCGGGTTTTCAAACTACTTGCACCCTATAGCCTGTTGCAGCGTTACGCACATATCATCACCCGCGTATGCAGAGTAGATCGAATTTTTGATGGACGACGTCACCGTCGTGACATGAGCAAACTCAT